CAGTTTGACTTCAAGTCCAACTTAATTTGCTAAACATATTTCCTTCTACATGTATTTTCCATTTCAGTGGTCTACATACGTAGTAGATGGTAATAGTAAAAATAGCAACAATCACATGAACTATCACTTACTGAGTATTTCTGTAGGTTAGGCCTGTGTTGAGCACTTTATAATCACTCTCTCTTTTAATCCCTACAATACAAGAACACCGTGAGGTAGACACTACCATTTCACTCATATTAAGATACAAAAGCTCAGAGAAGTTGAGTACCTTACTCAATGCTACACAGGTAGTGAATGGCAGAGAGAAGATTTGAACTCAGGTCTGTGTGATGCCTAGGCTCTTGCTCTTACACATACAAGGACACATTTCCCCAGGTCTCACCCAGCCTGCAAGCACTGTGGCCCCACATCCTCAGATACCTGCCCTGAGACCCAGCCCCTGGGAATCTGCCCTTCTCCTGAAACCCTACACCACTGACCACTTCCACATTGCTGTGGCAGGTGTTCAGTAACAATATGTTGTCACAGTGGTTGTCCCATCAGTTCTTACATAAAGAAGGAAAAGAAAAAGAAAAAGATCTTTAGGGGCTGGCCGGTTAGCTCAGTTGGTTAGAGCACAGCCTTATAACACTAAGGTCGTGGGTTCAGGGATACCTGTACCAAACAGCTGCAAAAAGAAAAAGGTCATTTTCAAGCTGCCTATTTTTCTCTTTGGCATACCATTTTTTATTCTAAACCTTACTATATTGTCATTCCCACTTAAGTAATGTTTTTTAAATGTGCAGACAGGTGTCATCTGGGCTAATCAAAAGGAAAGAATCCAACAGAAACAGTGATTCCTCCTCCAAGTTGGGAGTCCACTTTATGAGGTTTCCCCTGTGGTTTCTGTCAAAATTAAAACCAGGTCAGCCTATTGTGGGCACGTCGGTCTTGTAGCACCTTCCATCCTCCTTCTCTGTTCACCCCCACTGGCTTTATTGTGTTGACACATTTTATTGTCCATAACAGAGTGGGCATATGGGGACTGAAGGTGATAAATCACTCCTCTTACTTAAATGCACATCCCTCAGCTTTTTCAGAATAGTGTCAGAGGATGAAGGAAGAAGCTAATGTGGCTAAATGTACAGACATCTTCTGAGTATTTTTTTTTAATTATTATTTTCTTAGTACCTTGCCTTCCCTCCTCTTGGCTATTTTAGGCAAAGGACTCAGGCAAACCCCAGCAAGTTTCTCACTCCTACATCCACGTGCGGGTGATCGAAGAAAGTATCCACAAGCCCACAGCCATCCCCCTGGAAATTTTCATTGTCACCATGGAGGATGACTTTCCTGGTGGTGTCATTGGGAAGATCCATGCCACAGATCAAGATGTGTATGATGTGCTCACATTTGCTCTAAAATCCGAGCAGAAAAGCTTGTTCAAAGTAAATAGTCACGATGGGAAAATCATTGCCCTGGGAGGACTGGACAGTGGCAAGTATGTCCTGAATGTGTCTGTGAGTGACGGCCGCTTCCAGGTGCCCATCGATGTGGTCGTGCACGTGGAGCAGCTAGTGCGTGAGATGCTGCAGAACACCGTCACCATCCGCTTTGAGAATGTGTCCCCCGAGGACTTCGTGGGACTGCACATGCACGGGTTCCGGCGCACCCTGCGGAACGCGGTCCTCACCCAGAAGCAGGACAGCCTGCGCATCATCAGCATCCAGCCTGTGGCAGGCACCAACCAGCTGGACATGCTGTTTGCAGTGGAGATGCACAGTAGTGAGTTCTACAAGCCGGCCTACCTGATCCAAAAGCTGTCCAATGCCAGGCGACACCTGGAGAATGTCATGCGCATCTCAGCCATCCTGGAGAAGAACTGCTCGGGCCTGGACTGTCAGGAGCAGCACTGTGAGCAAGGCTTGTCGCTGGATTCCCATGCACTCATGACCTACAGCACAGCTCGCATCAGCTTTGTGTGTCCACGTTTCTACAGGAATGTGCGCTGCACCTGTAATGGTGAGTGTGGTTTAGAGTTCCTTTTACCTCCCGAGACTTTAGGAGTAAACTGGGTCACCATTCCTGGCAAGCATGCATTCAATTACTCATTCAACTAAATATTAATTGACCACCTACTGTGTGCCCCAAACCATGATAGATGCTGGGCCTGCAGGGGTAAACAAGACAAGCTCAGTTCCCACTCCCATGGAGATGCAGTGAGAACAGACAGACAGGCAAGCCCATGTGAAAAGAATTATTAGGTGAAGTCCTATGGGAGTACCCAGTTGAGAGGGAAGATTTTATAAGTAGAGTATCCTCTAGGTTGAGAAAAAGGTCAAGTAGGAATTAGATGTGTGAAACCTGGAGGGGAAGGAGAGTGTTCCAGCCAGGGCCAGCTTGTATTAGGAAGACTTAAGGGCGAGAAAGGAACCTATGCTAAGGTGATTGAAAGAGCTTTCTTCTACCTGTAAGGAGCAGGACAGTGATGACAAATGAGACTTGAGAGCAGGCCCAGTGATCACACGAGGGCCGTTAGCCAGGATAAAGAATTCAGAAATTATCCCACGGCAGTGGGAGCCATTGGATGATTTGCAGTGAAAAAGAGACAGAGTCAGATCTGTCTTTCACAGAGGGTGTGCTAGCTGCAGAGGGGAATGGATTACAGGGGACAGGCCAGAGGCAGGTAAACAAGTAAGGAAGATCTTGCAAAGGGTAGGAGCCATTCATTTGCTTCAGTGAGAAACAGGGGCCAGGGCCGGCCCGGTGGCGCACTGGATAGTGCACCGCTTGGGAAGCGCGGCGGCGCTCCCGCCCAAGGGTTCGGATCCCACATACAGACCAGTTCCCGAGGCGCGGGAGCAACACCGAGGGTTGCGATCCCGTTGCCGGACACGGAAAAAGACAAAAGACAAAAAAAAAAAAAAAGAAACAGGGGCCAGATGTCCAGGAGCACAGTCAAAGGATGCATTCAGCCCTCAGAGTGGCAGGGACAGAGTGGTTCATGTTTGTTGATGTAACTAGAGTCATTGAACCTTGACCTT